GTGTGCCTGCGATTGTGTGTGTGACAGTTGATTTGTGCCCACTGCGTTTGTCTTACACTACTCTGCTTATGTCCAGGCTTTAGAAGATGCCTTCTTGGCTATTGATGCCAAATTGACCACAGAGGAAGTCATTAAGGAGCTGGCACAGATTGCAGGGAGACCCACTGAAGATGAGGATGATAAAGAAAAGGTAGCAGATGAAGATGATGGTGAGTGTGGTGTCCTCTGAGAAAGAAATGAACAGTTATTGTCAGTTCTAAGAAATGATGACTTCAGCCAGGTGGTGGTGGAACATGCCTTTAATCCCAGCACTCGGGAGGCAGAGGCAGGCGGATCTCTGTGAGTTCAAGGCCAGGCTGGACCAACAGCCTCCAAAACAATACAGAGAAACCCTGTCTTGTAAAACAAAAACAAAAAAAACAAAAAAAAATGACTTCATAGGGACCTGGGGAATTTTCACATTAAGAACACTATATGGGCCGGGCGGTGGTGGCGCACGCCTTTAATCCCAGCACTCGGGAGGCAGAGGCGGATCTCTGTGAGTTCGAGGCCGGGCTGGACCGATAACCTCCGAAACAATACAGAGAAACCCTGTCTCGTAAAAACAAAAAACAAAAAAAAACACTATATGGTGTTCCACATTTCTATGTTATGTGTTTATAACAAAGAGAGTTAAGCATATCACTATATCAGTAAGCATTTTTGCATATATTATGTTTTGTTGTTTTGGTGTGTTTTTCCTGGTTCCTATATATATATGCTTTTATATGCACACACACTTTACATGTTATATATGTGCTGACCTTTTTTTTTTCCCAAGACTATGGCAGTTATATTAGCCTTGATAGGCAGATGTTACAACTTAGCCCTCCTAAGCTAATATATGGGCTTTCTGGGTCCTCAGCCAGAGTAAAGCTTTCAACTTAATACAAGTGAGAGGCACAGTGGATAAGTATGACTGGTGTTCCTTGGACTCAGAAAGACCAGAAGTGTATTGAGGAGAAAGTGAGGTGTTTTCTTCTGAGACATGATTAGATGTAGGAGGTAATCAGGAAGCTCAACCTCAGGTCACGAGAGGTATTGAGCTAGTGAAAGGGGCTGATACCTGTGAAGGGTCTGGGATGGGGCCTCTGACTTAGCCTCTTCCCTGCAGTGGACAATGAGGAGGCTGCATTGCTGCATGAAGAGGCTACCATGACTATTGAAGAGTTGCTGACGAGATATGGTCAGAACTGTCAGAAGGGCCCTCCCCACACCAAATCTGGAACTGGGACAGGTGATGAGCCAGGGCCTCAGGGCCTCAATGGGGAGGCTGGACCTGAGGACCCATCTAGGGAAACTCCTTCCCAGGAAAATGGCCCCACAGCCAAAGGCCACACAGGCCTTTCTTCTAACTCGGAACATGGGACTGAAGCAGGCCAAATTGGTGAGCTTGGAACTGCTACTGGTGAGGCTGGACCTTCCTGCTCTTCAGCCTCTGACAAGATGCCTCGAGTTGCTAAGTCCAAGTTCTTTGAGGACAGTGAGGATGAATCAGATGAGGCAGAGGAGGAAGAGGATGACAGTGAGGTAAGGGCCTGTGAGGACAGGCAGATACTGAAGTTGCAGTGAGGGCCTGTTTGGTGTCAGTTTTTATTACATGTGGGGGTTTGTGTGTGGGTCTGTGTCTGTGGCTTGTTGGTTGAGGTGAGAGGATATATAACTTGCATGAGTCAGCTCTCTACTTCTATCATGCATGTCCTGGGGCTCAACATCAGGTTGTCAGGCCTGCTGGCTAGCGAGGGTCTAATTAACCTCTGGGCCATCTCATCCCCTCTTCCTTGTACTTAACATCATTTCCCAATACTCACTGAGCTCTAATCTGCCTCCTTAACTTTCTTTGTTGATTTTATATTCAGAAGAATAAATTTTAAGATTTAAAAGTAAAAACATTAATCTTGTATTGTGTACATGTGTGTACTCGAGTGCCAGGGCACGCGTGTGAGGGTTTGCTTTCTTTACCATGGGAGTTCTGAGGATTGAACCTATGTCACTAGGGTTTACCCAGAGCCAACTTTCTGGGCACAACAGAGTGAATTAGTTCTGGCCTTTCAGGATCTGTCTCAGAGAGAGAACAGGAAGTAAATTTTACTACTTTTAGGTAGGTGAGTGTCTCCCTTTTCCAACAATTTATTCTCTGGAAGCAAGGTGTTTTGACTAGATGTTTTGATCTTCCCCAGGGCTGCTTTTGCTAATGACATCTGTGCCCAGTTCAGAATGTAATCACTGCATTGGTTATGTCTCTGTTGTCGGCGTTGTTTTGAGTCTCCGTTGAGGAAGGTGGGTGGGGCAGAGATGTCAGCATCCCAGTCTCAGTAGATTGAAATCTTCCTGGTAGGGATGCAGTGAGGAAGAGGATGGCTACAGCAGTGAGGAGGCAGAGAATGAGGAAGATGAGGATGACACTGAGGAGGCTGAAGAAGATGATGAAGAAGAGGAGGAGGAGGAAGAGGAGATGATGGTACCTGGAATGGAAGGCAAAGAAGAGGTGTGTGAACACAGGAACTAGTGATTTTGGAAAGAACAAGAAACAAGTGTAAATCTCTTGATTTTAAGCAGTGTATACCCTTGATATTAGTCTTTAATTTATGATCAGGAGTATTAATTCTGCAATGGGAACTGCATGGGAGATCCGGATGGAATGGCCTTTAACAAGGCAAGGGAGCATGCTATTGTCCCGTTTGTGAAAGCTGTCTAGCATAGATGATTGGTGAGGAGTGCTCACACCTGGAAGCTCCCACAAGCTTCCCTTTCTTCCTCTTAAGCCTGGCTCTGACAGTGGCACGACCGCGGTGGTGGCTCTGATACGGGGGAAGCAGCTGATTGTGGCCAATGCAGGGGACTCTCGCTGTGTGGTGTCGGAAGCTGGCAAAGCTTTAGATATGTCTTACGACCACAAGCCAGAGGATGAAGTTGAGCTAGCACGCATCAAGAATGCCGGTGGCAAGGTCACCATGGATGGACGAGTCAACGGAGGCCTCAACCTCTCCAGGGCCATTGGTAAGGGTTAAGAAACTATAGGGAAATTTTGGGGTCTTGCCCTCTGTCCCAGATTACTTAGTAGCAAAGTTTAATATTCTAAGCCCTGTACTTTTCAGAATAATCTAAAGCATCTTTGTGAAATAGTGAAGTTAGAGTTTTCATTGTGTCCTGGATGATAAAAAAAAAAAAGCTAGAAGTTAGTTCTTTATTCCACTAAGTCATGGAAGTGCTTCTAATACATGTCTGGGAAGCATTCAAACTACTGACCACTCTTACCTCTCAGGAGACCACTTCTATAAGAGGAACAAAAACTTGCCACCTGAGGAACAGATGATTTCTGCCCTTCCTGACATCAAGGTGCTGACTCTCACTGATGATCACGAATTCATGGTCATTGCTTGCGATGGCATCTGGTGAGCACTGGTGAATGCCCTTAAATGCCCTTCTGCAACCTTACATCTGTAAGGTTTGGAGCTACAGTAGAGGTAGCTTCAAGGTTGACTTCTCAGTGAATTAAAACCACCAAGCCTAAGGTACTGCTGAGGAGCATTTCTTCAGGTGCTGCTTACATGACTCTCCTCTGCCTTGGTGGGGCTAGGGATTCTGACTGTCGTTTTTTGACCCCAGGAATGTGATGAGCAGCCAGGAGGTTGTAGACTTTATTCAGTCAAAGATCAGCCAACGTGATGAAAATGGGGAGCTTCGGTTATTGTCATCCATTGTGGAAGAGGTGAGTCTGAAGTTAGAGGAGGGTACTTAGTCTACATAGCCACAACTTTTTTTCTCTTCGTTTGAGCTGAGTAGTATTAATGCTGGGAGTAGAATTAATCACTCACAAACACACTAGAAGACCTCGTGTCCCTGATACAGCCTTAGGCGTCAAAAATCAAAAGACACGTTGGTTTTGTGATACCGGCTACCGATTCCTTGTGTGTCAGCAAGGTTCCCTCCCAGGAAGGTGTTCAAACCCTGTGGCTAAACTACCTTTACCTTTTTGTAGCTGCTGGATCAGTGCCTGGCACCAGACACTTCAGGGGATGGTACAGGATGTGACAACATGACATGCATCATCATTTGCTTCAAGCCCCGGAACACAGAGCTCCAGCCAGAGAGTGGCAAGAGGAAACTTGAGGAGGCACTCTCCGTGGAGGGGGCTGAAGAGAATGGCAACAGTGACAAGAAGAAGGCCAAGCGGGACTAGCAGCTGTCCTGACCCTGCCCACCTGGACTGTTTTCTGAGCCCTTGGACCCGAGACTGAGTTTTTGTCCTTTTCTTTTAGCCTTAGCAGTGGGTATGAGGTGTGCAGGGGGAGCTGGGTGGCTTTCCTCAGCCCATTCCAAAGAGGGCTCTCCCTCCAAGCGGCAGCCTGGGAACCTCGCGTCCTCTCCAGCCTCCTCTTTACTCGGGCTCATCGGTCGGTTCTGTGCCTGTGCGCTGTTGTGTTGGAGGGAAGGACTAGTGGTTCTGATTTTTACTCTGTGAACACTTTATTTAAGGACATTCTTTTTTATTGGCGGCTCTGTGATCCCTAGCCGCTTGCACCCGCTCTCTGTTGTACACTTTCGAGCAACACTTTTTCAGACTAAAGGCCAAACAAAACCTAATCGTGCCCATAGTGTCCTTTTTTCTTCTCCTACCTTGACCCCAAACTGGACTGACTGTGGGGGCGCTGTTGGCGTGTGCCTGAGTCAGTCCTGCGCCCTGGGCGGGGAAGTGGAAGTGGTAGTTAACTCCTGAGCGGTTGGAGGCCGTCCTCACTCAGGCACGACTTCCTAGTTCGTACGCGGAGGGGGCAGGGTACCTTTTGCCTGGCTGGCCGGCCGGTTTAGTCCTGCAGTCTCCGATTGGTCGGCTAGCAGAGCATCACAATCACTTCCCGGTCACGCTGCGGCCGGGTTCCCGTTGTGCATCCCACAAACTACACGTCCCGTGCGGCTGTGCGGCGGCGGAAGCGGAAGCGGGTACGGAGGTACCAGCTGGTCTCCGGAGGGGGATAGGGGGCTCCATGAATGGAAGCGGCGGCGGCGGCGGGAGCGACCTGAGCTGGGCGCCGGGGCCAGGGCCGGGGGCTGCCCAGGGCCCGCACCGGTGTATGGGGGCGGCTGGTGGACCCTGAGAGCGAGGGCCGGCGGCTGGGCCGAACTGGGAGGGGCGGGGCCCGGCGGCCTCAGGCCGGAGGCGCGTCGGGCTGGAGCCGGTCACGATGCCCCGGAGGAAGCAAAGCCACCCGCAGCCCGTGAAATGCGAGGGGGTCAAAGGTCAGGGGTCAGGGGCCTTGAGCAGGGAGGAACGGGGGTGGGGTCAGTACAGTGGGCTCGGGTCAGGGTGGAGGGTCCTCCTGAGGTTTGGGGCGGGTGATCTGAGCTCCTAGCTACCTTCCAAAGTGCTAAGGGAACCCGAGAGGCTCATCGAGTGCGGGAACTGCGGTTCACAATGGCTGGCTCCCGGGTTCGGATTATGGGCACGGCTTGGGAGGGAGATTCCACCAGCACCGTCCTCTCTTTAGTGGATACTGAAGATTCCTTCGACGAAGGACCCGGGGCCCTGGTGTTGGAGAGTGATTTGCTGCTAGGCCAAGATCTGGAGTTCGAGGAGGAGGAGGAAGAGGAGGAAGGTGACGGCCACAACGACCAGCTCATGGGTTTTGAGAGAGACTCTGAAGGTGTGTTTAGGGGTCGTGGCTATTTGTGGTGACTCAAGCCTTCTAGAAGTCAGTGTCAGTGACCGAAACACTACTTCCTGATACAGCCTAGGACTGACTTGGCTTCCCATTTGGTTGCTTGGTTTGCTAAAGGGGTCCCTCAGCAGCATCAGTTGGCTGGGGAGAAGTTGTGGGTCGGGGCGAACGGTGGCCCGAACTCAGAGGTGGGTGACTCACGTGGTCAGAGTTAATGCCCTTTAATAACCTTGCCCCTCGCCCGTCCCTGTATGTGCACATCGAGAGCTTCACGGAAGGGCCTTGGGAAAACGAGCGACTCTCACCTGGTCCTTAACTGAGAGGCTCAGTCTCCACCCTTTTTAAGTCTCTCATCTCCCCCTTGAGTGTCTTTGTGTCAGGGAGAGAACCCCGTATAAAACAATCTGCCCTTCAGTGTAATCCCACTTTGTCCAAATGGTGTCTCCTTGAGATGGGCTCCAGTTTATAGTCAGCCTTACACAAAGCCAGTGCTTACTAAAAAGATCTCAGGGCCTTTGTAGTTTCTTTTCTTATCTCAAGAGTTAATGCTCCACATCAGCCTGCACCCCTGCTTCAAGCCCTTGATCTTCTTTTTCACGTAGCGGAAATGGTGTAGGACAGCCCTAATGTCAACAAATTAGGCTCAGAGAGGTAGACAGGTTGAATGTTTTGAAGTCAGTGTAGGGGAATCCTAGATTCCTGGGAGAGATCTAAAAGTTTTGGTTTGGTTTTTATCAAACGAAGGGTGGGGCTGATAAGTGGGGCCATAAACAAGAAATGAGAATTTGGAACTTGGTCTTGAACGGTGTTGATTCCTTTCCCGTCCTTGTTTCTGTCTCACCAGGAGACTCTCAGGGGGCCAGACCTGGACTTCCCTATGGGCTGAGTGACGACGAGTCTGGGGGCGGCCGGGCACTAAGTGCGGACAGTGAAGTGGAGGAGCCAGCCAGGGGTCCAGGGGAGGCCAGGGGTGAGCGGCCAGGCCCAGCCTGTCAGCTGTGTGGGGGGCCGGCAGGTGAGGGGCCGTGCTGTGGGGCAGGAGGGCCGGGTGGGGGGCCCGCGCTGCCCCCGCGGCTACTGTACTCATGCCGCCTCTGCGCCTTCGTGTCCCACTACTCGAGCCACCTGAAGCGGCACATGCAGACACACAGCGGGGAGAAGCCGTTCCGCTGTGGCCGCTGCCCCTACGCCTCAGCCCAGCTCGTCAACCTGACGCGACATACGCGCACCCATACTGGCGAGAAGCCCTACCGCTGTCCCCACTGCCCCTTTGCCTGCAGCAGCCTGGGCAACCTGAGGCGGCACCAGCGCACGCACACAGGGCCTCCCACTCCTCCCTGCCCGACCTGTGGCTTCCGATGCTGTGCTCCACGACCAAACCGGCCCCCCAGTCCCACAGAGCAGGAGGGGACAATGCCCCGGCGATCAGAAGGTAAAGAGCCGACCACCAGAGATCCTGAGACATGGGTGGGCAGCAAGAGGGAGACACGGGTTGATAGCGCATGTCTATTCCCACAGGTGCTCTGCTCCTCCCAGACCTGAGCCTCCATGTGCCACCAGGTGGTGCCAGTTTCCTGCCGGACTGCGGGCAGCTGCGGGCTGAAGGGGAGGGTTTGTGTGGAACTGGGTCAGAACCGCTGCCAGAGCTACTCTTCCCCTGGACCTGCCGGGGTTGTGGGCAAGAACTGGAGGAGGGTGAGGGCAGTCGGCTGGGAACGTCCATGTGCGGGCGCTGCATGCGAGGAGAGGCTGGAGGGGGGGGTGCGAGTGGGGGGCCCCAAGGCCCCAGCGACAAAGGCTTCGCCTGTAGTCTCTGCCCGTTTGCCACTCACTATCCCAACCACCTGGCTCGACACATGAAGACTCACAGCGGTGAGAAACCCTTTCGCTGTGCCCGCTGTCCGTACGCCTCTGCTCATCTGGATAACCTGAAACGGCACCAGCGCGTCCACACGGGAGAGAAGCCCTACAAGTGCCCCCTCTGTCCCTACGCATGTGGCAACCTGGCCAACCTCAAGCGTCATGGTCGCATCCACTCTGGTGACAAACCTTTTCGGTGTAGCCTTTGCAACTACAGCTGCAATCAGAGTATGAACCTCAAGCGTCACATGCTGCGACACACGGGCGAGAAGCCCTTCCGCTGTGCCACCTGCGCCTACACCACCGGCCACTGGGACAACTACAAGCGGCACCAGAAGGTGCACGGCCATGGCGGGGCAGGAGGGCCCGCCCTCTCCGCCCCGGAGGGCTGGGCCCCACCTCACAGCCCGCCCTCTGTCTTGAGCACTCGGGGGCCAGCAGCCCTGGGTGCTACCGGCAGCAGGGCTCTCCATACAGACTCACCTTGAGCCAGGTTCTTTTACCTGGGTCCTTAGGAATTAGCCCTGTCTCTCCTGCGTTTTATACAAATGGACTAGAAACCACTTTCCCCTTCCTCCCCCGCTGGCCAGGGGCTCCACACAGACTAACCTAGGCACTATATGGACCAGCCTAAATCCCATGGGCAGGGGGCCTGGTCTTGGCTCATGTACTTAATTTAATGAGCTCAGTGATTAGGCCCCTGGATTCACCGCCACTGCTCCCAGGGGCCATGGATGAACTGGCTGGGGGACTGCCCAGCCTCTCACCTGTTTAACTTATTTCAGTGCTTTATAATAAAGGAAACACTAACAAAGCCATGTCTATGCGGAATTGGCAATGACAACCAGGCCTTACCCTTAGCATAGCCCTTGCTGTGATAGGGCAGTGAGAGGGAACCAGAGGTAGGCAGCAGTCAGGCTGAGTTTAATGATGGGGAGCTGGTCAGACCATTCACAGACCTCTGCCCACCCTGTGTCCATGGCTCGGCCCTAAGAAAGCCGGAAACAGCCCATGGGGAGCAATGGTGCCTCCCCAAGGCAAGTAGCCATGGTCCCTTGGACTTTGTGCAAAATACTAAATGCTAATTTGGCATCAAGGGCCAGCTCTGAAAAAGAGACACTGATCTTTTGTGTCGCCAGCCCTGGAAAGGGAAGGTAGGTTAGGAGGCCCCTGGCCAAGAGGAAAGAAGAGAAGTCGGAAGGGTAGGAAAAGACTCCGCTAACTTGGAGCATAGGCACAGGGCAAGTCTGTAAATTTCCTCTGGGGTAGAGGGCAGAAATCCAGGCAGCTGAGATTACAAATCCTCATCTCCAATGCCCTCGAAGGCGAAATTGCCATGGACGGCACTGGCACTGGCATCTGTGCTGGGACTGCCAATTCCCCGCAAGCTCACCGCACTCAGCTTACTCTGTAACAGAGGTGGGAGGTGGTCAGAGGGCAGCCTGTCAGCCCCTGTGGTCAACCTCACCAACCCAGAAACTCACTGAGAGTTTGACCATGGATTCCCGGCTGGCATCTGGTGACTCCTGGGAAAAAGGAGGCAAAGCAGTTAGACTTAGGAGCAGAGGCAAGACAAGGCAGGGCTGGGAGCCAAGGCTGACATTAACTTACGAGCAACGGTGGGGACTTCACTGCTTGCTGGCTCTCTGAACGTCTCAGGGTGCCCCCCACCCGCCGACGCAGCATCTGGGGACAGACCCAAGGTACTGGTAAAAGCAGGAACATTCTTCTCAGAGCCCAGCCACTCCCCTCCTCCTAAGAGAAACCTTATTCCTAGACCACCACAGCAGAGCACAGCCCCGCAGCCCCTTGCTCTCCCGTGCTGCTCACCTTCCTGATGCTGCCCCCCGACTTCTTCACCATCAGCTCGTCCACCATGGACTGTAAGCAGATGCTCATCATGATGGCCTGGGGGAAGTGGAGAGTTCAGACTGATTACATCATCCCTAGCCAGGGGTTTCCACTCACATGGAGCCCTGGAAGCCCAGGCCTGGGACTTGTGGGCTCCGAAGGAGCTCTGTGGGGGCTCACACCTGTGGGCTGGTGATGGTGACCCACTGCAGCCGGTCCTTGCTCATGAGGTATTCAAAAGCCAGTTCCAGGCGCACCTCACCCCGACCCCGGCTTGGACTGCTCGTGCCTCCACTGGGGAGTGGCACCTAAAAGAGGAATAAGGGTCAGGTTGATTCCATTTTGGTCAAGCTGTGGACCTCTGCAGCCTGGAATCTCAAGGCTTGCCAGGTCCCATGTCAGAATGCTTCCTCTCACCCCAACTCACAGAAGAAAGACTGATGTGCTAATGCCAGCCCTTTAGAAAGCTGAGGCAGGAGGATCATGAGTTCAAGGATAACTGGGCTACATAGTTCCAGGCCAGTAATAGGAACATAATTAGAAGCTGTCACAAAACAACAACAACAAAAATATAACGCAACTCACAGAGGAGGTGACCCGCCAGCACCTCATGCGGGTGACCCGGAAGGAGCCTTCTCGGAGCTGCTGGCCAGGCAATCGCAGCTGGAGACTGAGCTCACTGTTGCCTGCACTGACTACCACAGGGCAGTCCTTCTCTGGAAAGTCAGCCACACAGGCGTCAAAGCGTAGGTAGCCATAGTGCCGCAGAGTTTGAGCCAGCCGCAAGAACTGGAAGATGGTCACCAAGTGTGGTGAGTTACAGAGGAAGTAGCTCAGGCTGCTCTTGTAGGGAACAAGGAAAAAAGCTCACCTCCTTCTTGGAGACTTTCTCTTGCAGAGATTTGAGCTGCCGGTGCTGCTCTTTGGTGACCAGGATCCAGCCATGTTCAATATCCGACACCGTCTACATACAGTGGAGACAATGAATGGGAGCTTGGGGCTCCCAGTTAGCAGTTCCAACGAAGTGATCAAAGTGAGCTGACCACACGAGACCCATCTGCAGCGAGACCCTGACCTTATCAGTTTATAGAGGCAAAGCTGTGCCAGGAGCTCTGATAGTGCCCCGGAACTTCCCCATGAACTGAGAACCAGAGATAGGGCAAGGGTTCTGAGGCTCCAGCTCACCTGAGCATAAAGCAGGTTCAGGCCAACACGGTTCTCCATGACATCGTCATCATAGGCAGAGTCCCAATAACTGTGAGGCCAAGGGGTGGGAATGAGTAATGGGGCTAAGCTGGGGTTAGGCAAACAGAAGCAATTGCAACTATAGGCTAATTAACAGTGTACAATTGGGATGAATGGTGGGAGGTTTAAGGAAAACATCAGTGTCCTCCCTTGGCCAGAAGAAGCTACCTCAGCGTGTGCCCAGCAATCCAACCCGGGCCCTCTACCACTGTGCAGCCCCGCCCTGACCTCTTTCTGAGCACAATCTTATACTCATGACTCCGAAGACTGGTAACCGATACATAAGGCAGCTCAAACTCCTGCAGCTTCCGTACAACTACAGATTCAAAAAAGAAAAGTGGTCAGACTAAAGAGGAAGGGAAACCAATGGGAGTGCTCAGGGGAAATGCCCCATTCTGACAAGAGTCAGACAACCACTGCCGGAAGCAGTAAAGGCCAGAGACACTCACAAGAAAAGGATCCATCTTCTTTTTCTCGAACAAGGAAGAGACTAAAATACCCGATCAAGTCATCAGGAAGATCTAGCTTTGCAGCCACAGCCTGGAAACAGGAAGGACAGCTTATCCAACCAGCTGGTTTTAGTGGAGGGCTCAGGTGCTCACTGGGCAGAGGGCTGTGCGGATGCACCTCACCTCTAGCACGTCTTCGGTCTGATCAGAAGTTAGTACATTGACCAGAACTTTCTGTCCATTGCTAAGCAGCACTTCCAAGGAAACCTCCTCTGTGGGGACTTGCTGTGTCTCCTGTATGGACAAACAAGGATGGGAGGCCCTACCTTGTTAATGTAAGCCTAGGGCCCTGCTCAGATGCACCCTAACTTCCTAACCCCCTCTGATATGGTTCTTAAATTCAGGCTGGGCCTCCCTTAACTTCAGTGGTTCAACAGAAGCTTTGTTCCATTAAAAAAAAAAAAAGCCAGGCAATAACCGCGTACTGACAGTGACATGGTGCCCCATCAGGTTTTTCTCTTAAATATGGGTTACCTGTTGGGCCCGACGCAGAAAACTATTAAAGGTCTCGCTGCTCCCAAGCAATGGGTCTTGCCGAACTGTGGGGTCAAGAGAATGATATCTTAGTAACGTAGGCCTCACTGGGCGTCCCTGAGTCCTGGGTTGATGGTGGCCTGTCACATCCCCATCTGGCCTCACTTGACACACTGTTTGCATAAATTCTTTACCTGCCCCACCCTTGGCTGCAATCTAGTTGAGTCCAGTCGACAGAACTAGGGAAATTAACAACAATGTTAATCTAAACCATATCCGTCAGGGCGGTGGTGGCACACGCCTTTAATCCCAGCACTCGGGAGGCAGAGCCAGGCGGATCTCTGTGAGTTTGAGACCAGCCTGGTCTACAGAGTTCCACGACAGCCTCCAAAGCCACAGAGAAACCCTGTCTCGAAAAACCAAAAAAAAAAAAAGCATATCCTCTCACAAATCTAAATTACTCATAAAACTAGTATTATACTCATAGTTCCAGCTTGCTTTACTAGTACGGAGTTTCATATCCTTTGCCTTACTAATTAAGTACCCTCAGCCCGGAGGCTTCCTGACTGTTATTACAGGGCATATGACAGAGCCATCTGACTTACTCTCTCCCCAGGGTTCTCAGCACAGCCTAGATTTACCCATCCACTCACCAGCTTGCATGTACTTCTCTAACTGTTCTCGCCTCTGTTCTACCTCTGCAGGCGTCAGAGAGAAAAGCTTCTTTGGGGGGAATGCAGGAAGCACATTGGCCCCGTACTCCTTCCGAAGCTACGTGGAGAGAGAAAGAAAGTTCCTGAGTAAACACAGAAACTGAGAAGTGGCAACTGAGACTCACCAAATGCTCCCGGGTTCCCCTAACTACTCTAGGTGGTCATCTGAGAAAAGAGGACTTTGGAAGAGTCAGGATTTCATGGATCCTGGGTATAAATTCTTATGAATTAATGTGTATCCGCAGCTTCACACTGTGGGGTAGGTTTCCATGGCGTTCAGGAGCCCTCTGATTATCTAGCAAGGCTGTTCACTGAACCCTCACAGGAAGTAGAGGGAGCATTCATATGCACAAATAATAAAGTCACAATATGCTTGCTCAGACAGTGTGCTGAAGGGGCTTTGCTGATTAAACAATCCATTTTTCATCTGGAGACACTGAGACTCGAAGTTAGGGAACTTGCTCAGGATTGACAGCTAGCTGTCAGTAGATCCAGGGCTCTCTACAGAGTTAAATACAGAGCTCACCATCCGGTGAGAAGGTAAACTTTGCATCACAGATAACATGACTACTCAACAGTTCTACACTGAAAGGAGCCGAACCAACGAGAAATCAGCGAACGGTTTGTGTTAAGGAGGGAAACGAATTTCTAAGTTGCAGCTTGGGCTACTAACAGGGTTCGGTTTTTCCATGCAGGGACAAAGGATGAAAAAGCAATTAGCTCAGAAAAGGAGGAGGGTGTGATTAGAGGGGAGAGACAAGTGCTGTGGGAGACAGCTGCTTGGGAGACCCTGAAACATCACGCTACTCAGGCACGCCTTCCACCGTGGCGGCGACTAAAGGGGAATGCAAGGAAAGGGAATAAATGCCCACGGGCATGGAAGGGCTTGAAGCTGCACCCAGAGGGGGCTCTCCTCCCACCTGCTCGTGCAGCCCCAGGAGCTGGCTGTAGCGCACCCGACAGTGCAGGACTCCATTCACGTGAATGTTATAGGCCTGAGGACACAAGAGCAGGCAAACATC